CGGGAGGTTCCCACGGCCGAGGCTGTGCAGCCGCGAGTGGCCTCCCCACGGCCCTGAGCAGCGGCAGTGGCTCCGGAAACGGGACCGGGACCAGGACCAGGACCGGGACCGGGACCGAGGCTGCCTCTGAGGCCACACGGGAGCTGACGCTGACTCTGCCCCGCTCGGCCTCTCACAGCCTCTCGCCTCTGGCGTCCACACCTCGGGGAGCAGAGGCCGGGCGAGCCTGCGCCGCTTAAATCGTTTCTCTCTTCCTTTCTCTCCTCCGGACGTTGCAACTCCACTGGGCGTTCAGGTGATTTGGGCAAATTGAGTAGAATCTTCGAATCATAAGACTTCACAGGCTTCTCGTGCAGGCGGCATGGGTGTAGTGACGGCTGTTTCTTGGGGGTGGGAGGTGTGGGAGGTCTGGAACTGTAGGACTGGGTGTCCCTGGGAAATGTTCAATGGCCCCTAGAGGCTAACCCTGTTATTCTCAAACTGGGGGACATTTTGTCCCTCCCCCTTCCCCGAGATTTTACCGCGGGCCGTAGAGGCTTTAGAAATCAGTTGGTCTTGGCCCTGCCGAGGCGTTAGGGGTGCGTTATTAAATGGACTACACACAGCAGCTTGTCTTTAAGCTGATAGTTTTGCGTGGCCTGTGAATGATGCTATAAACACCCACATGGCCCCTGGCAGAGACCCCCCCCCCCGCATTAGGCACTGTTTGGAGACCCCTTTCATGGCCACGCTGGCGGAGAGGGAGTCTACTGGCACCCAGCCGGTGGAGGCCAGGGATGCTGCTCAGCCTCCACACGCACAGGACGCCTGCGGAGAGGCGGTCTAGCTCCCATTATAGCTTTGCTTGTAGCTCAGATTCCTGCCCACGTACCTCTTAAGGTCTTTCTGCACGAGCATCCGGTACACAGTGGGCGCGCAGCACAAGGTGGTGATGGGGTAAGTGGTGAGCGTCTGGACAAGAGACACAGGTGTCAGACACGGCTAATTAAAGGCCTCGCCCAGAGCCGACGTCTACAGCCCCAAATTCTCTGTGTCCGTCTCATAGGAATAACAAAGCAAATGTTTATTAGTTCTCACTAGTGACTGTACGTCGGTTGGGAATTTTCAATTATTGGAAGGAATGTGTATGTTACAGTAATAGACATGCACAATCAAATTCAACAAAAAGTGAGCTGTTGAATTTGAGAACCACCCCAAACTGGTTTATTCTACTTTGGGGCCGCAAATGACCTCTTGCGGGGGAACTTTGAAGTGCTGACCCCTGGACAGCACCGACCCGGATCTGTAAGCGAACCTTCCAGCACTGCTTCTAGGAAGGACTGCAGCCCTGTTGCGTGGGTGGGTGAAATGCATGAGCAAGGCGTCTTTCAGGCCTTTGATGAGCTGTTTCAGACTTGCAGGGCTCCTTAAATCAAAGGCATCTCAAATCTGCAGAAATACGAATGTTTTGAGGTCCTCTTTCTAGACAGGGCCCACTCTGTCCCAGGATCGACAGTCTGTCCGCATTGGACGTAAGCGTCTGAGAGCACGCCCTCCAGATGGGTGTCTAGGCCACTGGGTGTCATGGACCAAGTATGACTCTCAGTGTAAGCAAGCATTTCTACTGTGTTGCTTGCTTCCTGGATTCCAGCTGTTCTCAGGAAGTGGAGTGTCTCTAACTAAGAATAGTGTAAATCCATAAACACTTTCATAGAACTTAAAATGCACACATTGTAATGATTTGTAAAATAAGAATGTTCTTTTTTTTTTAGAGAGAGAGAGTGGAAGGGAGGGTGAGAGACAGAGAAACATCAATATGAGAGAGACACATGGATTGGTTGCCTCCTGCACACACGCTGACTGGAGCTAGGATCTAGCCTGCAACCGAGGTAGGTGCCCTTGACCGGAACTGAACCGGGGACCCTTCAGTCCAAGGGCTGACACTCTAACAACTGAGTAAACAGGCTAGGGCAAGAATGTACTTATTTTAATATTTTATGTAATATTATGTTAAATAAGATTAATTGCATAACATTAATATATCAATTAATATTAACAATTAATACATTGTTAATAGATCTTACATAATATTATATTAAGCATAATATATTAAAGGTGCCTTTAAACATAAAATTTTAAGTATAAAATATTTAATATTTTATAAAAATATATTTATTTTAGCCCTGGCAAGTGGGGCTCAGTTGGTTGGAGCGTCGTCCCATGTCCCAAAGGTTCATGGGTTTGATTCCGGGTCAGGGCACATGTATCTCAGTGCTTTTTTAATCTATGAATTTCTTTTAAAGTTTTAGTTTTCGGGTTTGATCCCCAGTAGGGGTGTTTTTGGGAGGCAACCAATCAATGTTTCTCACATCAATGTTTCTCTCTCTCCTCCCTTCTTCTCTCTCTAAAATCAATAAGAACATATTAGGTGAGGATTATACACACACACACATTTTACAAATGCAGGTTTGAAACTGCAGAGTTAACTTGTCTACCGCAGGACACTTTGTCCACCTGCTGTGAGATTCCAGTTCTACGTTCCCGACATTCCTGTTAAGACGGCCGGCCATCTCGTCAGGCCACCCAGCGAAACAGCAGGGTGAGGAGAGCCCTCCTGCCCACACAGGTGTGGTGTTCATTTAATGATATGTATTTCGTTAAACCTAATTCGTGTTTCATGGTGGAAAATAATTGGCCTGAGTCCCATTTTTCTAAAGGTTAAAGGCGGGGCCTCTGCTCTGCAACCTGGGTGCGCGGAGGGGCTGCTGGCTGCAGGCCACGGGTCCTGAGTTAGCAGGGTCTCCTGGGGAGCAACAGGGGCTGCTCTGGCAGAAGGCAACCCCACCCCAGCCTCCCCCACACAGGGCTCTGGATTTGTCAGTCATGGTCTTCGTTTCACTAATCAGAAGCCACAGATTTGTTTAGACTTGAGACTTTTAATTTGTTATCTAGAGTCAGATTCTTCAGCAGCCACGGATGTAGCGACAATAGCAAATCCTGAACAATTTGAAGCACAAGAGTGGGTTTTATGCCTAAGAGTGTAGTGGGTGTTCCCTCTCCACTCTGGTGAAATACATTCAAAAGCCCCCAAGAGTCTGTCTTACAAAGGAGTGACTGCCCGGCCAGTGTGGCGCAGTGGGTTGGAGCACCAAGAGTGGCAAGTTCGATTTCCAGTCAGGACACTTACCCAGGTCGCAGGTTTAATTTTGATCTCTGGTCAGGGCATGTGCAGGAGGCAACTGATCCATGTTTCACTCCCCCCTCCCCTCTCTTCTGGGGATTCATTTCTCTCTCTCTCTCTCTCTCTTTTGAGGGAAGACAAAGGAGAGCTGTAGCTAGAAGTTACGACTTACATCTAGGAAGGTGTCAGTGTCAAACTGGGCCATCTGATGCACAAAGACACAGGCTCCCTGCAGCCAGGGAGAGAACACGCTGCCAATGGCGGCCTTGATCCAGCCAGTGTCGGACATGTTCCATATGGTATCCGAGGACTCCAGGTCCAGCCAGTACCTAAACGACACGGGGAAGCAACAAGACCGAACAGAACAGCCAGGGAAGCAAACAGACTGGTGCCTTTGAGGACTGGCAGGAACCTCGATGACTACAAAGAAGGGTCAAAAGAAGCCCCAAGGAAGATGATGCTTCTCCCTCCCACTTCTGTTAGAAGACTGCTCCGAATCCTAGGTGGTCTGAGAGTGGAGTGGGAGGCAGGGCTTGGCATCATTTTCTGAGTTTGTCCATTGATGCAACACATACTTACTGAGCAAACACTATATGCCAGGCACTCTGCTACGAGCAGTGAGCAAGACTGGCCAGATCTCTGCTCTTGTTTGAGGGGCGAGACGGTGAATAAGCACAAGATGAGTTAGTGCAAACAGAGATGTGCTGTGAGGAAAATGAACGGGGTGGGGGACCGTGTGGGGACACCTAGGAAGGCCTTTCTGGGCGCGTCAATGTACCTGGCGGAGAGGAGGAGCCAGACGGAGTCTCCCGTGGGGACTGAGCCGGGCGGGTTCCTGAGCTCCTGCCTGACGAGCGGCCGCTCACGGAGCTCAGGTTGGCAGGGGCCCCGCGAGCTGTTTTGTACATGTTACATGGAGGTATCCACGCAAGCAGGGGTGTCAGCGAGGCCGTTAGAGACGCGAGTCAACAGCCCAGGGCCGGCTGGCAGAGACAGCGGTTCCTCCTACCTTCCACAGAGAGTGTACCCGATGCCCAGGCTGCTGTGGGAGTGCTGGGCCATCTTGGGCGAGCCCGAGGTCCCGCTGGTGAAGTAGATGGCCGCCGGCTCCCGGCTGCCCGTCTCCACACGGCTGTGCTCTGCGGAAGCGCATCTGTAAGGCATGGACCAGATGTGGCTGACGATGGCAACCCGGCTCAGCTCTGGTGTCCTTTTGCTCCTACTTATGCCCTCTTGGTCCCGAAAACAGTTAGTAGGGCAGAACCCTATCCAAAGCCTCCCGAGAGGGGCTGTGCAGACCAGTGCTGAGGGTAACAGCTACCTCTCTCTAAGCTCCACCGCCCCGTAGGCCAAAGGCATGGCCAAGGTCACTTTCAATTTAAAAAAAAAAAAGAGCGAGATGCCAGCTAGCCTGGCTCAGTGGCTGAGTGTCGACCTATGAAGCAGGAGGTCACGGTTCAATTCCCAGTCAGGGCACATGCCCGGGTTGCAAGCTCGATCCCCAGTAGGGGGCGTGCAGGAGGCAGTTGATCCATGATTCTATCTCATCATTGATGCTTCTATCTCTCTTTCTCTCTCCCTTCCTCTCTGAAATCAATAAAAATATTTTTTAAAAGAGATGTGTACTTTATTTAAACATTTTTTTCTCAGTGTGTTTTTAATCTATGAATTTTTTTACGTTTTGAATCTTTATAAATTGTTATTAGCATTTCAGGAGTTTTTATGATTTAAAGGAAGATCTTTGGTATTAGAATACAAGTTTTTAATAGTTTTTATTTAATATCTTCAATAGCGCTGACAGACACAGTTAATTGCTTACCAGAGAGATCCCATCCTCCTTGCATTGGTGAAACTGATTGTGTCAGGGCTGTGGCAGCCATGTGCTTCCGTGGGGACCGGGGGTCGGGAGGGGCGGGGCTGAGTCTGGTTAGCCTAAGCAGAACATGGTGTAGGGATGGGCACAAGACAGTCCGGGCCAGAGAGACTCAGGCTTTAGGGGGACCGTTTCCTTGTTCTAGAAAGAGCCAGGAGGAAGGGCTGCTGCCCCCACCCCACCCCGTCTGGTTCTCTGGCCTTTGGGTCTGGGACTACTCAGCCATGCTGGGGTCCCCCGGGGTTGGCAGACACCCAGGGGGCCTGGTGGGAAGACGAGTGAACTGGACCCTTGTCAATCATCAAACCACTCAGCCCGCTCTCACCACAGCCCCGCCGCGTGAGAAGGCGGCGTTGTTCGCGCGCTTTGCTTGCTCTCCCATTGCTAAGCCAAGCGCCCTCTAACTGAGCCGCTGTCCGGCCTCCGCCCGGTCCTCCCTGCAGGCGGGGCTGGCGCCAGGCCCAGGCCTCGCTCACGGCTTCACGTTCACCTTCACTGGGGGGAGCAGGCATCACTGAGAACGTTCAGAGGTGCC